TCCGCAGCGCCTTGCCTGGGCCACCGAGACCGGAAGGGAGCGTCAGCGCCCGAAGGAGCGGAAGCGAGCGCTGGCCGGAACCCCGGTGCCTTCTGGGGCTTGTAGTTCTGGGCCGCGCGCCGCCTGCGCCGCTCCTGTCCGTGCGTCCTGCCCGCGCTTCTTGTCCTGCCCTCTTCGGTGGCTTTTCAAGCGGGCTGGCCCTGACAGGGTGTGACCAGCACCTGGTCAGGTGCTCTGCGGAGCTGCCACACCTAGAGATTGGGTCACTGGTCTAGAATGTCGCGCGTACTGTCGAACCAGGAGTTAGAGAAAAGCCACTTCTCCCAGGGTTGTCAGCATTCTTTCTCTCGCCAGGCGAGACACTTCGTCATCCCCTACGCCCAGTAAGTCGCCAAGCCCTGAGCTTTATTTAGAAGCCCTCTGAGGCGCCAAAGAGGTAAATGCTTCATGCCGCTGTGACCGCGGCGGTCCGAGCCTGTTCCTGTGAGCCCTTTTCACTGCGGTGGTCGCCCCATCTCAGGTCTCTCCCTGCACTTTCGACCAGCGATCAGATTCCCCCAAACAGCATTTTTTTGGACGGCAGACTCTGGGCGCAAGGCTTGGACTGCGACCTCAGGCGGTTCTGAAAGCAAGCGTCGGTTCTGTCACTTACTGGTTAGGTAACTTTGAGACGAGTGTTAGCTCTGCGAAGCCTGGGTTCCCAAATCTTGAAAATGAGAACCGTAATACTCTCCAGATGTTGGAGGATCAAATAAGGCAGGGGTCCCCCAAACCCCCATCCCGCCGCACAGCAGGAAGTGAGCAGTGGGTCAGCCAGCGAAGCTTCATCTGTGTCTGAGCCGCTCCCCAGCGCTGGCATCACCGCCTCAGCTCCACCCCAGATCGTCAGGCATTAGATGCTCATGGGAGCACCGGTCCCCCGTGCCACAAAGGTTGGGGACCGCTGCGAGAAGGCGATGTGTGTGAAACTCTCAGCACGCTGTCTGGCACGGGCAAGAGCTTCATGGATGGGAACTGCCGATGTTACTGCGTCTCCAGCGTGGCGTCCGCCATTCCGTCTGCATTTATCCAGCACCTGCTTTGTGCCTGGCACTGTCCCAGGAGCTGAGGCTACAGCGATGGGCAGGACAGGTGGGGTTTCTACTCCTTAGGGGCTCACGCTCTGCAGGAATAATATCCATCACCTGAATTTGCTTTAGGGTCTCCCTCCGTGGCCCACATCCCAGACGAGAGTGTTCCCTGAGGACAGGTTGTCCACTTTCTACAGCTTGGCATGGCGTCACACCTGAGCACACAGGAGGTCCTCCAGGTGTGAATAACAACTGTGCACACACCTGCAGTCTGCTCTTACTTCAGCCCTGTGCCCATGGCTTCCAGAACTGCCTGCTCCTTATGCAGACTCGGCCCACCCGCCCTGCGGGGCCTGGTCTGGTCTCCCGTCCCCCAGGAAGTTTTCCTCAGCTTCACCGGGCTGTGCCTCTTTTCTGCAGCCCCTCAGGTTAGCACGTTCCTTTCTGATCGTTTCTGGCCTGAAAAAACAAACAAATCTGCCTGAGTGATTGCTGCTTCTGGTGCGCCCTTCCCCAAAGGCCCTACGACGAGATGCCAGGCACTCAGGAGGACTCCAGGAACCCCCCGCTGATGGCAGGAATTTCCACTTCTTTCCAAAGCATCGTTTCCTATGGCAGCTTCTCCAGGATGGGAAGATGTGAAGTACGCGCGTTCTCGTTTCTCAGATTCAGGCCCAACGGCACCCAAAAGGAATGTGTGTTCAGCACACGCACAGTCCAAACGCCCTGCAAGACAGCCAGGCCGGATTCGGAAGAGAAAGTCTTCACCCGGACGTTGCCCCTTTATGTGTTGACCCTTTCCCTGCCTCTACCCCATCCGTTCGAGTCCCTTGTTCATTCATTGACACATTAAGCGCTCATTTTTTGAGTGCCTGTTATGTGTCAAGCACTGTAAAAGTCACTGTGGTATCTGTCCTCAAGGAGCTCAGAGTCTAGTAATCGGGACTATGATGAAAAGACAAAGGGGTTGTCAGGCACTCCTCAAAAACGAAACAAAACCGAAGCGACATTCGGTGGCTTCCCGTTGTCAGTGGGACTCAACACTATTCCTTCATCGACAGTCGGGTCCCTTTACTGTCATCCCTTCTGACGGTAGAGCGTGGCCGCTGCCTCGCCGTCGGAGGGGAAGGGAGGAGAATGGGGAGAGACGGCTCAGACAGTGCTGGGGCTCCGGCACAGACACCAAGGGTCCCTTCTAAGCCCTCGGATCCCTGGAAAATCTTGGACTGAGCGGGCGGCGAAGCGGATGGTGGCCTGTGTCCGCTTCTGCCTAAGTTTCTCTCCAGGACGTGTGGGTTCCACAGGACGCCTCCGTGTCCCAGCGCCCTTTGCGGCTTTGTCCCATTTTCAGAGTTTGATGTGACCACAGCGCCTCTTCTCAAGCCCAGCCTCCTTTCCGCATGCCCTGATGGACTTGGGGGAGGGAGTCGAGCATATCCAGACTCTTCTTGCTGAAAACTGAAGAGAGATGCGTGTGGATGTGCGTGTGTGTGTGCGTGCGTGTGCATGTGTGCGTGAGCCCTCTCCCATCCCTCACAGGAGCCCTCCTCAAACTCATGGGCCTGGGACCCCACCCTCCTGTTGCTATGACAACCACTTCTGTGAGGACATGGGGACTAGAGTCTGTGGTGAGGGAGGGCGGGGACACGCCAGAGTCTCCTCGCATTAGGGATCACAGAACTTTGTGAACATGAGGAAGCAAGAGAATGCGTCTTTATCTTCAGCTGTCAACGTAAGAGGGCAGATGGGACACAGGCAGGAGAGCCAGGGCCACGGTCCCGCAGCTCAGTTGGTGTCAGCCGTTCTGCTCCTAACTGGCCCCTCCTTCTGCTCCCCCTTAGGAGACCAAAGAGGCTTGGGGAGCCTCAGATGCAGAGGGTCCCTCCCTTAACACCGTCAGTGCATCCTCGACGTCCATCGGCAGCCTCACCGATGACACGGGCTACCAAGAGAGCCAGGACCTGACCAGTGTGAGTACCTGCTGCACACCGCCCCCCACTCTGGGGTGTCGCACCCCTCGCTCCTGCACCGTGGGGGCGTCTTAGCCCCCTGACCTCCCCCGAGCAATCTCACGTGACTTCTCTACGTTCTTCCAGACACCTTTACTAAACATCGTTCCAATTTACTGCTTCCAGAAAAGAAATACCAACAATAATAGCAATCGCAGCTTCCACCCGTGACTGACCGCATGGCCCTTTACAAGAATCTGTCGCTCATCTAAACCTCTTAACAGCCCTAGGAAGTAGACGCTATTGTTTTCCCCATTTTTCAGATGAAGAAACCGAGGCACAGCCACGTTAAATAACTGTCCCGAGATCATCCGATCGGGAAGCAGACGTGCTGGAGGCCGAGCTGTTTGACGCGTGAGCTCACGCGCAGAGATAGCGAGCCCAGTGAGCTGCCACGTTTTTATTAGTTGCCCGTGGGATTCTTTCAACATTCATATGCCGTTGAGCACACTTGATGCATAAACTCTGTGTGTTTATTCGGGGGAGGGTTGAAACACTTCCCACGTATTTTGTAACTGAGCTGTAATTGACACCCAATAAAGTGCCCGTATTTACAGGGTACAATTTGACATTTTGACATATGTATGCTCTCGTGAAACCATCGCCACGAACAAGAGAATAAACCTATCTATCACCCCCAAACGTGAACAACCAGGATTCCTAGAACGGATAAGTTAGAGGGTTATTATCTGCCTTCTAAAATGAGTCTCTATTTAGCCAGCGTATTCGCATTAAGACCCTTTCAAAATAATGAGCTGTCTTCTAACGCGTTCAGAATATGCCTGTGGGTCTTTCGCTTTGTAACTTCTTAGTGATTTCGAGTGAACGTCTGCTTCCAGCCGGGCAGTCTCCTGTTGTCTGAGCTGCCCACTCTGGGAGCTGGCCGTGGGTGGTCCTCCGATCGTGGTCCTCTGCCTCACTGCCCCGCCCAGACGCGAAGCCCCGTATGTAATGGGTTGGGTTGATGGAGAGCACGCTTCATCCTTTGCTCTTGGATTCCCCAAGGAAGAAGATGCCAGCTTCGCTCAGTCCAAGAGGCAGAAGCGGACCAAGGTGGCCACTGTCCGGATGAGAAGTAAGGGGAGGGAGGAAGATCAGGACAAGGAGGATGAGGAGGATGAGGCAGAGGCCCCCCGGACCTCTTTGCCGTCCCCTAGGAGACGGAAGCAACGCCCACCTTCAAGGACCGGCCCGCCGAGGCCGAGGGAGCGTGACAGCATCTTGGAAAGCAGCTTCAGCGCGCTCGCCCCCAACACCAAGTCATCCCACTGGAGTTTGGCCCTGTTCTGTCAGTACTTATGTAGCTGCTGCCACGGGAGGCAGAATTCAGTGGAGGAAAACAAAGCGGTGGACCCCCTAGGAAGGAGGGACCCAGATGAGAAGGGCCCTGTCACAGGCTCCATCACCGAGCAAGGGGCCTCTGGGGCAACCCCGAGCGGAGCTCTGGGCAGAAGCGAGAACAGAGAGTGTGATCGTTCAGCTTGTAAATAAAGCAAATTTTATTTCCGTGGATGGCATGTATGAGCCTGATGATTCCAGATTATTGTATGATTGGTGTTTGGTACAGCTGGCCTGGGGACCACCTACCCCAGGCCCTGTGAGTGCTGCTCCCAGCTCCTGGGGGCCCCGGGTCCCTGCTCAGTCTCCTTTCAGAGGAGACAGTGGACCTGGGGCCTCCCGGGCTTGGCCTCGGGGCCCCGAGTGGATGTGCCGAGGGACCCAAGGCCAGGGTGTAGACTGGGCCGTCCCGCGGGCTCCCTTGTGGTCTCCGTGTGCAGGGCCTACAGGCCTTGCAATGCGACTTTTATTCTATTGATCCAGCCCGGCGATCTCTGACTTTTAGTTGAACCATTTAAGCCATTTAGACTTAGTAAAATTAGTTCTATGTTAGGGCCTAAATCTGCCATGTCATGTGCACTTTCTACTTCCTGTCTATTCGGTTTCCTTTCATTTTGTCTTGTGATATTTGAAAAATTATTACGATACTTTGGAGGTCTAGGCGTCCATTGCATTTCTCCAGATTTCTGCTTGCTCCCGCCAGGCACCTGGAGAGATGCTAGCAACCTGCGATCCCCTCGTTCCAAGTCCGAGGCTTGCGGATTTCTGGACCACCGAGGGTGGGAGGCGAGGCTGCACGCCCAGCCCATCCCCGGGGGTGCTAGCACGTGCTGGATCTTCACGGGCGTCCTTGTCTTTAGCTGTCCGCAGATTCCGACTTTTTGTTCCTCTAGCTCCCTGTCCTCCAAGGCCCTCAAATCCCTCAGCGACCTTATCCCAGCTGGCGAAAGCCCCCAGGTCAAAGGTGGCCTTTTGGCTCCGCTTTCCACACTGGGTTCCCAGCCAATCTTGGCCCGTTGAAACTTTTTAGATTTTTTTTAAAAAAAAATGTCACCCAGCTTTTAAAATTCCTAGTGAGAGTATTGGTTTGAAACATCCAGTCTACAATGGTCAGACGTGGAAGCTCCGGCCCACGGTTTATCCATGGCACAGAACTCTGGTCTGTAACCTCACCGCACAAAGGATGAGGCCTCGCAGGCCTGGGAAGAGTTCCCCAAGTTCACAGTCAGTGGAATAGCCAGGTGGAGTCTCAGCCCAAGGCCAGGAACCACCTCGCTCCACCCGCACAAGCCCTGGATGCAGGGGTTGGTTCTGTTCTAAACTTTTCTTCGCCTGAGGGGAGGGCAGTCTCGCCGAAAGCTCGGGAGGGGAGCAAGGGCCTAGCTGTCTCCCCGCACCTTCGGACGTGCCTCTCGCAGTGGACCGGTAGGCTGGGGTGGCGAAACGGCTCTGATGGTCTGGGGGTGTGAACGGAACATGCAACCCTTCCTCCTCATTCCCGAATCGTGGGTCCCAGATATCCACAGAACCAGTGATCCCTTAATCTTTGATTTTCTTATCACCTGTGCTAACCGAGCCCAACTTTAGATTCCTCCAGACCCACTTTATAAAAATCCTCTAGGACCAACTGTCTTCAGCTGCGTCCTCCCCCCCAGAAAGCAAACACCAAGACACTGTTGCAACAAAGACCACACCGTTTATTTACAAAGGCCAGTGTGGGACCTGAAGGAGGGAGGGAGGGCAGCCACGCAGACGTCCTCTCTGGATGGCTTGGGACCCTTCCCCACTTGGAGAAAATTCTGTCTCTTATGCCTCCCTGTTCCCAGCCATGGGTCCTGCCAGCAGCCGCGCTAAGTAGCAGAGAGGTGAGGTGAGCCTCGTCTGTGCTCCAGCACAGCGACACCCAGGCCAGGTCAAGGGCGTTGCTGCCACCCAGCCTGGAGGGAAACAGGGAGGAACCCGAAGGCCAGGGGCTCTGGAGGGGAGACTCCCCCCACCGTCCCCCGAAGGCAGCGAGTGTAGGGGTGCTGGGTGCAGGGCAGGGGTTCGAAGCCCGGCTCCCCAGGCTGTGTGTGCCTGCGCTGGACAGGCCCTTCTGCCCGCTTGTCTTGGGGGGGGCGGGGGCACGCGCTGAAACAGAATCAGCAAAGAACCCCACCTCCCACTTAACGTGCACACGCGTGTGTGCGTGCACCCCAACACACACACGCCCCCCTGCGGAGACACACCCCAGTCTACTTCATGTCTTTGGAGGGGGGCTGGGATGGTTGGCACCCGGGACACAGGTCCATGGGACCGTGTCAGGGAGTGAGAATGACAGAGCCCCCTTCAACTCCCGTTCCATCGGCGTCTGTCCCGTCCCCAAGCCCGAGCCGGGGCTGTGCCCCACAAGAGCCGTCAGTGCCCCTGCCCCTCAACTGGCAGCTCTAACTCCCGAGCCTCTGCAAGGCTGTCCCGGCCACCCCCGCCGTCACCAGGCCGGTCCAGGGCTCGTTCACACCTTGTCCAGCAGGCTGTGTCCCGCTTCAGACAGGAAGGACAGGCGTCTGCCTCCCCCTGGGGAAGGGCTAGACGGAGCGAGCAGACTGGGGCGTGAGGGGACTCCGGCCGGCTCCGCCTGCCCCTCCTTCAAGCATGGATTCTAGCAGTGGAGGCGGGAGGGCGTGGGGGACAGAGCCGGGGGTTACCGGAAGTGACCCGCAGACAAGGCCCCGGAGGCACAGAGGGAAGAACGTGTCCCAGCCGACCCGTCAGTCCTTCGGCTGCACCTGCCACCGAGAAGTCCGAGGGCTGTGCTAGGTACACGTGGGGCCGTGAAGGCCGTTTACACAGCTCCGCTCGAGCAGGGCCGGGAGAGAAGGCTCTGTGCCAAGGGGGACGAGAGCCGAGACGCTCAGACAGAGCCGCGGGGCCTGGCCGCCCGCTAAGCCGCTGCTGTCCGGACAGGACGAGGGACGAGACAGAAGGGATGAGGAGCCGCAGAGGGGAGGGGCCCACGGGGTCCGCGGGCCGGAATCCAGGGAGGGGGGGCAGGAGGCCCGGGCCGCGGGGCTAGGACAGCTGAGAGCCCAGGAGTCTCTCGATAGCCGCGTTGATGTCCCCTCCCGTGGCAATCAGCGCCTGCAGGTTGGCCTCGCGGTTGACGAAGCCCATGGCGTTGAGCTGTTCCAGCTGCTGCTGGAACCTCGCTTCTGGCGTCTGCACCTGCGGGGGACAGGTCTGGTGAGGCAGGGACAGGCGCGATCCCGGGGGCCCTCTGGAAGCTGGGGGCTTATAACGACGAGAACACAACCAGAAGGTCTTCTCGAACGTCCGCAGAGTCAACCAGGGGGGCAGGGAGGGCCAAAGAGGACCGAGGAGCCTGGGCCCCGTCACTCAACAGCAGCGTAATCATAAGGCAGGGCTGTCTTAAAATTTCAGAATGACAGGTCTCGATCGGCCTACTTCCTGTTTTCCATCAAGAGTCTGAAGGTGTTGACAGACACTACAAAAGCAAACGGCGGATCAGGGCATCCTAACGGTGCCCCCAAACTCCTCCCGGCCTCTGTACACATGCGGCCAGACGGAAGGCCAGAGAAGGGCCCAGAAAGGAAGGAAGTGTTCCATTCTAACCAGTCAACAAACACGGTTATTTACGAAACAGAAAGCCTTCCACGTTTGACAGCCCCACGCATGTCTCCTGGAGTGTCTGCCCAAGGGATGCTGACAAGGCGCTAGCTCGGACCATGAACAGGAGACTCAGAGCGGGAGGGAGCCCAGCCACGCCCGGCCGCCCGGCCGCCGACAGGAGGGACGTGCTGTCCGGAGGAGCAAAGGACCTGCTGAGGGTCATAGAGGCCCCCGATGTGCAGCACAAAAGCCCTGTCCGGCGCCCCGTGCTGTTTCTCACCCCCGGCCACGGATTCTGGCCACGAACTCTAAGCGGGGCTGGCCCTTGGCGATCGCTCGGTCCGGCCCGTGCACCCTGACATGTCTCTTGAAGGCTCTTCCCGTACGCGTCGAGAAGGCCAGAGAAAGGTGAGGGCCTCGCCGGAGGTCTCTCCCTGCTCCTCCCCGAGACCCCAGGCCTTGACTCCGTGGCCTGGGTCTCTCGTCCCCTCACCTCCCAGAATCCTCCTCCCTAGTCTGAGATGGAGGCTGCTTCAATCGTCAGAATCCTCCGATCCACGCGCGAGCGGTTTAACGGCGGTTCAAGTGCTCGCTCTGCAGCCAGCACGCCTCGTTCGAGCCTTGGCTCCGCTACTTAGTAGCTAAGTGACTGAGACAGCCACCTAACTGCTCTGGGCTTCAGTGTTCCTTTGTGAAACAAATTATAACAGCTTCCTCGCAGGGCCGTGAGGAATGAAGGGAGTGAGCTCCTCCAGGGCGGGGACGTAGGCAGGTCCAACACGCAGGAGTCGCTATCCCCGTCCCTGCCCTACAGCTGTGGACACTGAACCCAGGCAAGGTCAGCAACTTGCCCAAGGCTGGAAAGTGAGGGGCGGGCCAGGGTCCAGGGCCAGGCTCGGCCGAGCCCCAACACCAGGATGGATGCAGCGGCGCCGGCACCAGCCCCGCTGCCCACGCACCTGTGAGTTTCCGCTTCCTGCCAAGAGCTGGATCATCTGCTGCATGAGCTGCTGCTGAGCACTGGACGCCCCAGCTGGAGAAGATGCGGCCGGCGGGGCCGGCGAGGAAGCGGGGGCCTCGGGCGCAGACCCCGCGCTGCCGCCTGCCGAGGGTGCGGGCGTCCGGGCCATCCCGAAGGAGCCAAGGCTGCAGGCAGGAGACCAAGAGGTGGGGGACGTGGCGGAGAGTGGCAGCGGGAGGGGCTGAGAGGAGGAGGAGCCGGAGCCTTGCTGCCCACCTGCCCCCACCCTCACCTGGGCACCAGCCCGGGGGCCTCGGTCTGCAAGGTCTGCAGCCCCTGCTGGATCTGCAGCAGCGCCTGCATGGCGCGGGGGTTGGTAAGGACGGAGAGAGACTCTGGGTTCTGCATCTGACGGGAAACGAGCAGAGGGAGGCGATGGGAGCTGGCAGGAAGCAGGAGGCAGCCTGAACCCCCAGCTCTGCTCCCCCTTAAGCTCCACGCACTAGGCTTCCGGGCCCACCCTCCAGGCCCCTCACTCACCTGCTGCAGGAAGACCGGGAGCTGCAGGCGGAGCTGCTCCTGCAGCTGAGGGTTCC